GGCCGCCGCTTTTAGACGCTGCAACGAAGCCCGAAATGGGCTGAGATAGGGTGCCGGTGAGGCGAAGAATGGCCGACAGCCGGAGGGAGTGCCTGAGAAAGTTTCGCCCACAGTACTGCCAGCTGGGGTGAAGAAAGAAGGTCGGTCAGACTTCAGGGGGACAGCGGAAGGAGTTTGCACGACGCCAGCGTTGCAAACAGGTATGCTTATGCCAGGATCGTCTGTCAGGGCCTTGGGTGCGACTGTTATACGTCCGTCCTCTCCAACCGAATATAAATGAGCGTAATCCTAGTTTTGGAAAATTAAAGCGCCAGAGATTAGTAAACTCATCAACATAGAAAGGACTGCGTGAGTAAATGTACGGATCCAAAATTGGTCAAACAAAACTTCACAACGATAAAGACGGGCAGGTCGAATCCTTCAGAACATCAGCTTGATCTCTAGCAGCTATGGCCTCAAGACCGGAAAGACAGGTTTATTTGGCAACCCAACGCCCGACTACCTGACATGATAACCAATGGCAGGTATCGGACCAGCCCTAGCGTAGTTTAGTTTCCAATTCAGCAGAATTTAGAATTTGTTGAATAACTGGTCGCGTACTACCAGAGCGAGGAGGACCGTCTCACCGAAAACTGCATAGCAGCATAGCGACCGTCGACAGCCATTCAAATAAATTACTTTGTAATTAATTCCCTGGAATTAACTCCTTGGGTCAAAACGCTGGCGAAGGAAACCCCAAATAAACAAATCCCATTTCTAGACCACTACTTCCGCAAGAACAGATGCATTCCATAACGCTGATTCAGAGTTGCAGGCGAATAGATAGACTATTTAAGTAAGGAAAAGCCTCTGGCAGTGAATTTGTAAATATGTAAACACTAATTAAAGATTTGAGTTTATGGGTCCTGAGATCCCAATTCAGACTGGTATCCGGTCTGTCGTTGGAAAGGAGTGACTCGAAATATCCAGATCCGTTGTTGCGGATCAAAAGGCCTCGATAACAGTGGGGGTAGCTATATAAGGTATAATGAATGCTGTGCCAAGTATGAGAAAAAATCGATTCAAGAACTTGGACTACTATTTCATAATGCCAAAGAGCCCAGTAAATTATTGAAAAATCAACGGACAAGTAAAGTGTAGGTATAAAAATATAAAGGGTTTCGGTTTATGAAATAATTCACACGAAGGTCACGGTTTCATTCATTTAAATTTGACTGGCATTTAAGTTACATTGGTGAGTAACCTTGCTGCCCTTTCATCTGCTCCATGATATACTTTATTTAGGAAGATTAACCTTAGGCAATTAATCTGCTGGAGACATCGTGAAAAATGCTTAATGACAACAGTGTTAACGGGTGAGTTTCGTCGCTTAAATGGACAGACAAGTTACATGTGAGACTATTTGCTTTAGACTTGCCTCTTTGATTGCTTTTCCTATTTGCCAGATTGAATATTTTCGATTTTTTGAATTGAAGGTGATGACGAGTGATAGGGCCTCAATGGTGCCCACGATCCGCTGATTCACATCATTAGCAAACCCTAGTCTGGGTTGACAGTCAGAAGATCCTGCTCCAAAGGAGAAAGATAAAGATTTGATATCGGCTGTCTCATAGTGCGCGATATATCGGGTATTCGTCAAGAAAAAGCTTACCGGGCACTTTGAGGAGAACAGGAGTCATCTCATCAAGCGGATGTGTCATAAGAAACAATGTAAAAGTTGACGGCAAATCCAGAGGCGATTCCTTCGACAGCGAAGTAACACAGGGACTGTTAAAGGGACTCCAAAATGGCAATGAAGCTCCCGATTTTACTGAAGCCTGAAAAGATGAACCGGTTCTTTCTGTTGAGGTAAGCCGACGCTCCAAAAGAACGCCCGACTTTAGAGGCCATGCAGCTTCAACGTGGAAAGGAAGCCGGGCAAGAAAGGGAGTTCCGGATTCCTCGACAAAGGTGCATCGCTGCGACTCGAAGACGCAAACACCCCGCTGAAGTGTCCTTTCGGCATCGGCAGAAGGATCGAACTAACAAGAAATTGTGTAGCAGGGAAAATACGCGAGTAAGTATGCATAAGTCAAAAGTCAATATGATTGATTATTATGCATACCAGTAAGTGCATCACCTCAAATTCATCTTCGTATTTTTTGGGTAGCATGAACGACGCCCAGCAGGCTGTGATAATGGGGCTTTCCATCGTAAGAGTAAAAAGAGGAAAATGTCCCACATCTCCCGACAATCGACAGCATACTACGTCACAGTCCCGGACATACAACTCTTCAAAGTTGCAGCCTGCGGATCGTGTAATCCAAAATTCTCGCTGAAATATAAATATAGCGAAAAGTATGCGGGTACTTTTGGTTTGCTGCTTTTCTTTTCATCAGTTAAGTAATGCTTGGGAACTGCATTACGCCCGTGAGAACCTATATTACTAGCACTAGTTTCTTGTGCATCCAGGTGAACTTTTCCAAATGCATCATGGTAAGAAATCGAACTGGCTGATATCATTCCCTCTTGCATTTAAGAGCGGGATGATAAGAAGCCGCAGCACCAAAATTTCAAACATTCACTCCCGGTACGGAGATTGTGCCTGAAAATCTGTCGCCCAAGTTTGACATGGAATAATGTTTAGTCGGTTGCCAAAGTATGTTGGTGCTTGTCAAAGATTGAACCTGTGCAGTGGTAACTTAAAGAGAGTACTGCATAATATAGAGTTATGTGTGTCTTAGCTTGCAAATGTTTTCAGAATTTCATTCCGTGATCCAACGATGGCGGTAAAATAGTCCGAAGATCGTTGGAAATATAATCATTAATGTTCATAAGGGCCCT